CCATTAATTTTTCTTAGTATTTAAATAATTGACATAGGGGCACCAGGGTGACTCAGTGGTGGAGCATCTGTCTTTGGTTCAGATCGTGATCCCGGGGTCCTGGGATGGAGTCCCACATCGGGCTCTCCACAGGGAGCTTTCTTCTCCCTCTGCCTATGTCTCTGCCTCTCTCTGTCTCTCATGAATAAATAAATAAAATCTAAAAAGAAAAAAAAATGACATATATGCTTTTGAAGCGTACACTTGTAGCTTTTAATATATTTGCTGCATTATACATACATCATCACCAATTCCAAAATGTTTTCATCATGCCAGAAGAAACCCCTTACCCATTAGCACTTAGCCCTAATCCCCTCTTCCCATCCCCTATCAACCATTAATCTACTGTCTCTACGGGTTTGTCTTTTCTGCAAATTTCATAGAAATAGAGTCATACCGTATGAGGACTTTTGTGTTTAATTTCTTTCATTTAGCATTAGTCTTCTTCAAGTTTCACTCATGTTGTAGCATATAACAGTACTTCGTTCCTTCTCAATGGTGAATAATAGTATATTATATAATCAGACAATATTTCATTCTTCCATTCAGTAGCTAATAAACATTTGGGTTGTTCTTTTTGGCTCTTCCAAACATTGCCATGAATGTTTCTGTGCAATTTTTCTGTGTGGACATATGTTTCCAATTCTCTCAGGTACATATCTAAGGAGTGGAATTGCTGGGTCATATGTAACATTAACATTTCACTATTCATGCTTTCCCATATATCTATTGTCTTCTCTCTTAAGCATCCTTCTAACAGCACAGTACTCCATCTCAATTTGTGTACACTTGAGAATAAATTGCAAACATCAGTACACCTCACCCCTAAACTCACTAGTATGTCTATAGACTAGAATTCCAGTATTTATTTAGTTTTTTCTTTTCAGGTAAAATATGCATACAATGAATTCTAAAGTATGATTCAATGAGTTTTTTTTTTTTTTTAAATTTTATTTTTATTTTATGATAGTCACAGAGAGAGAGAGAGGCAGAGACACAGGCAGAGGGAGAAGCAGGCTCCATGCACCGGGAGCCCGATGTGGGATTCGATCCTGGGTCTCCATGATCGCGCCCTGGGCCAAAGGCAGGCGCCAAACCGCTGCGCCACCCAGGGATCCCCGAGTTTTTTTTTTTTTAACATTTTATTTATTTATTCATGGGAGACACAGAGAGAGAGAGAGAGACACAGGCAGAGGGAGCCTGATGTGGAACTCAATCCCAGGTCTCCAGGATCAGGCCCTGGGCTGAAGGCGGCGCTAAACCGCTGAGCCACCCAGGGCTGCCCTGATTCAATGAGTTTTAATACAGGCACATGCCTGTGAAACCCAACCACCAGGCCTCTTTCAGATCAGTCCTTGCCCCCACCCCACCCTCTCCAAAGGCAATCTATCTTCTGATTTTTTCACCAAAAATTAATTTTGCCTTTGTATAAACAGAATCATACAGTATGTGCTCCCTCTTTTCACTCAGCATACTGGTTTTAGTTTTTTTTAAAGATTTTATTTATTTATCCATGAGAGACAGACAGAGAGAGAGAGAGGCAGAGACATAGGCAGAGGGAGAAACAGGCTCCATGCAGGGAACCTGATGTGGGACTCAATCCTGGGTCTCCAGGATCAGGCCCTGGGCTGAAGGCGGTGCTAAATCTGCTAAATCGCTGAGCCACCAGGGCTGCCCCAGCATACTGTTTCTGAGATTCATTCATGTTACCACATGTAGCAATACTCCAGTCCTTTTGGTTGCTGAAGAGTTTTCCGCCACCATGATCATGTGGCTGTACCATCGTTTATCCATTCACCTGCTGATAAACACCGGAGCTGCTGTTTTTATGCTGTTTCCAGCTTTTATGAACAAAGCTGCTATACTCATCATTGGCCATAGGCCGGGATGTGAACTTATGCTTTTATTTCTCTTAGGTAAATGCCTAGGATTTAAATTCTGTTAGAGGGTAAGTGTACGTTGAGCTTTGTAAGAAACTGCCAGGCCTCTTCCCAAAGTGGCTGTACTATTTTTCATATCCAAAACGATGATGAGGCTTACAAATTTTGAACCAAAAAATAAAAGCACAGATTGTAAGCTGCTACTAATTATTTCTATAACTATCTTAAATGTTTAAATAATTAGGCTAAATAAATAAATAGCCTCAGAATACTGTAGCTAATAAATGTCTTTTTTTTAGTTTTTATTTTTTATTTTTTTTTTTATTTATTTATGATAGTCACAGAGAGAGAGAGAGAGAGAGGCAGAGACACAGGCAGAGGGAGAAGCAGGCTCCATGCACCGGGAGCCCGACGTGGGATTCGATCCTAGGTCTCCAGGATTGTGCCCTGGGCCGAAGGCAGGCGCCAAACCGCTGCGCCACCCAGGGATCCCTAAATGTCTGTCTTGACCATACTTTCAAATGAATAATGATTTAAAATGAGGGGATGGCTCTTTCACAATGAAAAAAAAATTATCAGCAAACCAGGAATAGAAGGGAATGTCATCAACCTGAGGAAGCCATCTTTTTAGGAAAACCCACAGCCAACATTATACTTGATGATAAAAGACTGAATGCTTTCCCCTGTGATCAGGAACAAGACATGGATATCTGCCCTCACCATTTCTACTTCTTGTTGTTCTAGGGGTTCTAGCTCTGCAACTAGGAAGGAAAGATAAAAGGCATCCAGACTAGAAAGAAAGAAGTAAAACTATCTTTATGTGTAGATGTTATGATCATATACATAGAGAAAATCCTACAGCATCTACTAAAAAGAGGTAATGAATTTTATGACACTCTGTAGAAGTCCAGATTTCCAAGATTTAAAAATTCACTGGCTTTCTTCAAACTGCCTCTTCCTTTATTTCTACATTCTTCTCCTCACTTGGCAAGAATACCCCAATTCTTTTTATTTTTTTAATTTTTTTTAAAGATTTTATTTACTTATTCATGAGACACACAGAGAGAGGCAGAGACAGGAGAAGCAGGCTCCATGCAAGGAGCCGGATATGGATCACGCCCTGAGCCGAAGGCAGACAGGCTCAACCGCTCAACCACCCAGGGGTCCCTATTCCAACTCTTTTTAAACCACTACCCAACTATTGCCTCCATCCCATCTCTCCCTGAAGGTTTGCTCCTGTAATTACCCATCTTGAAACTGCCCACCAAGACCCCTGTTTCTCTTTATCTGGACCCCAGGCTCCAGTCTCTTCCTCTGCACTCCCTTTATCAATTTGACTCCTCTCTTGCTGGGTGTTCTAAAGTAGCTCCCGGGGCAGCCCCTGCGGCTCAGAGGTTTAGCGCCGCCTTCGGCCCAAGGTGTGATCCTGGAGACCCTGAATCGAGTCCCACATCAGGCTCCCAGCATGGAAGCCTGCCTCTCCCTCTGCCTGGGTCTCTGCTTCTCTCTCCATGTGTCTCTCATGAATAAATAAATAAAATCTTTAAAAAAAAATAAAGCAGCTCCCTACAGCCTGGTTTCTGTATTTGTGTGTATACGCATCCCATCGTGGCTAATTTATTTTTTTTTTACTTTTTTTGTGTGGCTAATTTTAAAAACAGCTTTATGGACATATAATTTATATATGAAATTCACTCATTTTAAGAGAACATTCAATGATTTTCAGTAAATTTACTAAGTTATTCAATCATCACCATAATCCGGTTTTGAATATATTTCTTAGCCTGCTAATATATCTCCCCTGGTTGGCTCTTAAAGACTGGGCCACCAAAAGTCCATCTACAAGTGTAGAGTTTGAAAGTGAGGTCTGATTGGAGATTTTTAAAGAAGATTTTATTTATTCATTCATGAGAGACACAGAGACGTAGGCAGAGGGAGAAGCAAGCAGGCTCCCTGAAGGGAGCAAGATGTGGGATTCCATCTGGGAACTCCGGGATCACACCCTGAGCTGAAGGGAGACGCTCAACCGCCGAGCCACTCACTCAGGCGTCACTGATTTGGGATTTTTGAATAAGTCTAATACCTCCAGGCAACAAGACAGTAAAGGATCATTTTTCCATCCCTCTTCCTTTAAAAAAAAAAAAATGAAGTCTTGGTTAATCATTAAGCCAACCATGATATCTCGAAGAGTTAAACGGATCCATATCTCCATTACCATCCAAACAAGTCGTTTTCCTCTCCTGCTTCCCCTTCAGAGAAGACACTCCCCAGCTGCTGAGGCATTCTTAAAAGAACTTTCTAGCTCAGCTCACACCCCGCCCAAGACCAACGACCTCCTCCTCTCCAGGAAGGCCAGCCCCAGTCCAGGCCCGCATATACCCATGCTCCGGGTCAAGAAGCATTCATCGGGCCTTCCTCTGCCAATTCTAACGCTGCCACCGCTTCCCCACGCCCCGACCCCCCTCCAACTACGAGGTCCCGGTCTTCCTTTTCGTCCCTGTCAGCCTTGTTTCCCTCATCTCCAGACGGATCCCGAGCCCCAGATCTCCGTCCGCGCCTCGCTCGCCGGGTCAGCCCTTCCCAGACGCTGGCACCCGGACCTCCAAAGTGCAAATGCCGAAACCAGACGAGTTGACGCGCCTAGAGGAGAGTGTGTGGGTGGAAGTGTCTGTGCTGGTGTGTGGAAGAAACCAACCGAGTCCACGCGGGTGTTCATTTTCGGGAAATGCCAACCACGCCCGGCTGACAGAGCGACGATCCGCACCCCAGCGCCCCCGTGCACGCAGCACTCCGGGTGGGGCAGCTCAGAAGCTGCTGGGCTTCACCCTGCGCCCGGGGCCGGCGGGCGCCCCGCCCCCCAGCCGTACCCCGCCCCCCCGGCCCGGCGCGGTGGTAGGGCCCGGCCGCGACGTCACCCATTGTTTACAAATCAACCCGAGCCGGTAGGATTCCGGCTCCCGCTGCTGCAGGCGCGCGGCGCGAGTGCCTGGCGGGCTCCGGCTTCCGCGTCCGCCCCGGCCCGGCCCGGCCCCGGCCCCGGCCTCGCCCCCGCGTCGGCCCCCGCCCCGCGCCCCGCGCCCCGCTCCGCCGCGGCCCTCCGAGCCCCGCCGGCCGCCGAGCCGCCAGCGCCGGCCGCACAGCGCCGGGTGCCCGGGCGGGGGGCCATGCCGTGCCGGAGGGAGGAGGAAGAGGAAGCCGGCGAGGAAGCGGAGGGGGAGGCGGAGGAGGAGGAGGAGGAGGACAGCTTCCTCCTGCTGGAGCAGTCGGTGACGCTGGGCGGCTCGGGCGAGGTGGACCTGCTGGTGGCCCAGATCGGCGAGACGCTGCAGCTGGACGCGGCGCAGGACAGCCCGGCCTCCCCGTGCGCGCCCCCGGGGCCGCCGCTGCAGCCCCCGCAGCCCCCGCAGCCCCCGCGGCCCCCGGCGGCCGTGCGGGCGGACAAGGCCCGGCCCCCCGCGCTGCCGCTGCTTCTGCCGCCCGCGCGGGCCGAGGCGGTGGGCCCGGCGCCCCCGGGGGCCCTGCGCTGCGCCCTCGGGGACCGCGGCCGCGTGCGGGGTCGGGCTGCGCCCTACTTCGTGGCCGAGCTCGCCGCGGGCCCCAGCGCGTTGTCGCCGCTGGCCCCTCAGCCCGGCCTTGACGGGCCCTCGGGAGCGGACAAGCGGGCCGCGCCGCAGCCGCTGTCGGGCCCGTGCCGGCGAGGGTGGCTGCGGGGCGCCGCCGCCTCCCGCCGCCTCCAGCAGCGACGCGGGCCCCAGCCCGAATCCCGCACGGGCGACGACGACCCGCACCGGCTCCTGCAGCAGCTGGTGCTCTCGGGGAACCTCATCAAGGAAGCGGTGCGGAGGCTTCATTCGCGACGGCTGCAGATACACGCAAAGCTTCCCCAGCGCCCGCTCTCCGGGCCGCTGTCGGCCCCGGTGCATGAGCCCCCTTCTCCGCGCAGCCCTCGGGCGGCCTGCAGCTACTCCGGCGCGTCCGGGAGGAGCGCGCAGCCCCGAACTGGCGACGGCGTTCCTGTGCCTGGCAGCTAACACCCCGGGAGTGGCCACAGCGCCAGCCTCTGCCTGGAGGGCAGGGGAGCCCCCTGAGGGCTAGCTACATCCCTACTCGGACTGGTGAACTCGCGTTTTGGAAGCGGGAAAATAAGCTAATGCAGACGAGGAAGGAAAAACCGCGAATGTTTTCGCGGGGAACTAATGGAGGGCCCCCGATGCGTTTGGAAAACAGAAGAACTTGGGTGCCCTATTTGAGGCAGATTACAGAGCGCACCCCAAGCTCACATCCAGTGGTACTCCCCGTTCGGCGTGGCCAGCCCCAGCGGTGCAGCGAGCAGATCCACGCAGCCGAGCCAGTGGGACCCTCCAGGACCCTCCAGCCCAGCGACCATGTGGCCACGTTCCACGCGTCTCTGATCGCCGCGCGCCCAAAGGACGAGGATGACCCCAGTTACTTGCTTTACCTTTTCAGGGCTGGTTCCTGATCCACTTTGGGGGAGGGGAACATGAGTCAGACCATCATTTCAGGGAGAACCTCAAACTGCCAGACTTGAAAAATTTACGACTCTTTAAAAAACCCGTCTTGTGTCTTGTGGGTGCTGGTTCTTAACGCAAAACACGCGGTGCCATCAAAGGACCTTTTTTGGGAGTTGAATGGGAGTAAGGTTCGCGCTGCCTCCGCGGTGCGAGCGGGGGGCGGGGGGGCTGCGCGCCGGCGAGGGGAGGCGGGGGCGGCGGTGCCGCGGCCCGGGGAAGTGGGAGTCGGCGAAGTCTTCCTCTCTGGGAGATTTTCACTGCCGTCCCCCTCCTCGGGTTCAAGGTCAGGGTTCCCCCAGCGCCCGCGGGGGTGCGGGGCTCCAGGAGAGCGGAAGAGTTGCCGGGTTCCGCCTGTACCCGGGAGAAGCGCCCGGGGCTGTGCAAGTGCTGGAGTCTTCTGAGGACGCGCGCCGAAGGGGACGGGCCGGGCCGGTCGGTGCCCACCGCGGCCCGCCGCGCCCCGGGCTTTCAGAGAGTGCCCCGAGCCTCAGCCTCGGTCGGGCAGCCCCCCCCCCCCGCCCCACCTCCCCGCCTCGGCTCGGCTCGGCTCGGCTCGGCGGTCCCACTCCAAGCGGGTGGCGCTGGCGCTCCTTGGGGCCCGGGCTGGGGGCTGGGGAGACGCCACGTGACGGGCACTCCGGGGACACAGCCTCGCACAGCAGCTTATAATGGACTCTCCGGGGCCATTTGCAATAACAGCTGCAATTCCCTGGATACACGGAGTTGGTTTCCTCCCTCCGCCCCTCCCCCAGCCATGCCAGCTCGCCTTTGTAAGTGAAGGAAACCGAGTAGAAAATGTGACCCTCCAAACGGAGAAGCTGCAGGCTTTGCCATTGTGAGCCGTGGTGAAGTGCGTTTAGCATACTTTTCACTTACTCTTGAGGGATCTAAATCCGTTTTGTTGGTGTTTAAGTTTTAAAAGATTCAATGGCTTGTTCATCATCCAGATGTGGCTATTGAGGTATCTACACTTCGCACCGGAGTGTCTGGAATTGTGGCTATCCTGATTATAGGATTTTAACTTAACTGAAATACTTGTTTTTAATAAATGCATTGGGTTTTTTGGTTTGGGTTTTTTGTTTGGTTTTATCTTATTCTTGGCTTTCGGTGGGAAAGGTGCACAGAGCACAATTCTCTAATCCATAAACCTAAAAACACTTGAAATCCTTGTCAGCCTGGCTTGTGGATGGTAATTAGAGCGCCTTTGTGTCTGAGCAGCTCACTAGTTAAGCAGGGTCTGCGTGGCTGGGTGCGTATTGGTGCTGGCATGAAATTAAATGAAAGTGAGGTCAGGTTTTGGACCAATCCCATTCACTAAAAACTTAGAGCCCCTTGGATTACCAGTGATGGAGATGTTTTATGAAGCTGCCTCTGACTGTATTAGCAAAAGACATCAGATCAGCCGGTCACTGCAAACTGGGACTTTTTTTCTTTCTCTTGACTGTGGTCATTAAGTGGACTTGTTTCACATGCGGTCCTTAAGGCTAGGACAGCTCTTGGTTAGAGGCTGATCAGGATACAAACCCACAGTGGGAAAGCTGGCTGGCAGCGCCTGAAAGGACTCCTCTCTCTGCTCTTGGCATGTTTGTTGCCATGCTCTCCCTAAGCGGTGACCTAACAGCCCATCTCTGTCCTTCCCTGAGTTACTTCAGTCTGTTCTCTCCAGAAAGGAGCCACACTAGGCAAGAGATGATCCAGGATTCAAGGCCACTTATTAAATGGGGTCCTTGGACAAGTTGCTCAACCCCTGTGAGCTTTGGTTTCTTCATCCGTACAATAGACAAGAAATGGGATGAGGAAAAGGTTTATGGTGACTGGCACATGCTGAAGATGAACAGTCTCTAGTCTCTCCTCCTTCCTTCCCAGGACTGCCTTTTGGTAGGCAGACCACAAGGTCCTCAGTTTATCACAAAAGAAGACCATGCCATGATCCCAAAAATGCTTTCTAGATTGACTACTGTATGTTACAGTCCTGATTTTCTAACACCCTTTTGGGCTCCATTCCTATTGTCTGTATCTCCCCATTCAAATATACACAGCCCCTGATGGTCTATAAGAAGTACCTCCAGAGCACACCCAGCTGTTTCCCACAACCTATGCAGGAAGTGTGGGAGGCTTGTCCAGTGCCACTCAGCAAGGGAAGGGTGATTATGGAGGCTCTAACATAACTGAGGAAGATGGGGTTTGTGTGTGTGTGGGGGGGATGTCCAACAGTGCAGGTAGCTGTCACCTCTGGGCACTGAGCAAAAGTGGAAAAAAAAGTGGAAAGTGGTCAGGTGGTGACTTTCCCTGGCATTGGGGTATCCTTGAGGTCCTCAGCCCCACTACTTTAGTGGGCATGGGATTTCCTGGAGGTCAAAGGGTTAGGAGCAATCCAGGGCCAAACTGGCCATGATTCCATGCCACTGCACAGACTGTGCTGGCTTCTTGTAATGATTAAGGCTAGACTCAACCATGGGGCTCACCCAGTACTACTCCCTCCTTAAAAAAGAAAGACTGGAGGGGCACCTAGGTGGCTCAATAGTTTAGCATCTGCCTTTGGCTCAGGTCCTGATCCCCGGGGTTCTGGGATGAGTCCTGCATCAGGCTCCCCACAGGGAGCCTGCTTCTCCCTCTGCCTATGTCTCTGCCTCTCTCATGAATAAATACATCTTAAAGAAAAAAAAAAGACTGGAGAAAACTAATGTCTACTATCAGGCTATCAGGAACTTTAAATACACTATGACCCTAACTCCATCTTTTAAATATTCTTGCAGCTCTTACTAGTCACCCCAAAATCCTTTTTTGGAATAGGTCAAGGTTTACACAAATGATTTTTTAAATATTTTATTTATTTATTCATGAGAGACAGAGAGAGAGGCAGAGATACAGACGGAGAAGCAGGCTCCACGCAGGGAGCCCGACGTGGGACTCGATCCTGGATCTCCAGGATCACGCCCTGGGCTGAAAGCAGACGCTCAACTGCTGAGCCACCCAGGCTGCCCCTTAAGATATTAGACCATTTTGTAGGTGGAAAAATAGTCCAGGAAGGGGACAAGGCAGAGTGACCTACTGAAGTCACTTAATGAAGCCAAAGGCCTATCAGAGTCTAGAACACAGGTCTCTGGGCTCCCAGCTCAGGCCTCTTTCCAGTACCTAATACCATCACACATAGTCCAATAGTGTTCACTGCACAACTCCACACATAGACTACAATGTGAATGACACCACTGCCCTTGTCCAACATGGTAGCCCTGCCACCGGAACCTGGAAGAAACTACCCCAGATTGCTCGGCTGACCTAGGGAAAGCCAGGTATGCCACAACCATTATCTTTCAAAATATGTTCAGCATCCTATGAAGACAGCTAACTGGCCACAGAAAATGACCTGGATGAGATAAAAGACCAAGCTAGAAAGTCAATGAAAAAAAAATAAAACACAGAAAGTGTCAAATAAATGATGTGAAGAAAAGAATGGCATGCCTCTGAGAGGACTGCAGAGACTGCCACCCCAAGATTCCATTCTAAATTAGGCAAAAATGCTACAATATTTGGATTCAATTTTTACCCTTCCTTTTTCAGCTCATAAGCAGAGACATGGAACGAAGATCAGACACCACTTTCCTATCCAGCAAAGTCTGTGTTGAACCCTGTGATCCCTTCCTTCCAATCAGGAAAGAGTTACCCTGGCAACCAAATTACTAACTCACTCAATTAGCTCCCCCCTCTTCCACCAATGCTCAGTAATCACAGAATGTCAGCCCAGGGAGAGCTCAGCCTTAGGCGGTCTAGTGCTATGCCTCGTTTAGTGATGGAAGCCCAGAGTGGTGCGCTCCCCGGAACACCGTGCAGGCTGGTACAGGCAAAGCGACAAAACCTTTCCCATGCAGCACGTCCTCCATAACTGAACTGGAGAACAAGTGACCTACCCTTAACAGTTTCCCAGAAGGCATGATAGATAAGAGCACAGGCTTTGCAGGCAGCCCTCCACTGCCTCCACACAGGCATCTGTGTGATTTGGGGCAGGGTCCTTAATCTCAATGATCTCAATGAACTCATCTGCAAAATGGGGGTTAGAAAAGAGCCTTATCTTGAAAAATGATGTGAGTATTCAATTAGATAATGTAAGGGAAGCAAATAATAAACACTCAAATAATAAAACATCGTTTCTGGAAGCTATTGCATGAAGGCCACTACTTTGTTTTCTGTGGAAAATCCTACCTTTTAAAGACTTCTTCAGTCTGTTTCTTAAAAAGCATAAACCTCTGAAGACCAGTCGCTTGAGTACACACCCTTGTTGTATAGGTAAGTGCTAAGGCAAGAATGGAAGAAGGGAATACTCAGTCTATACTCAGAGATTTAGTCTCAAAAGGGTGGCAGTCCCCTTCCTCCCAAACCTTGAAAGCCAATCAGGATTGGGGCTGGTAGAGCCAGAGGAGCAGGAAATATTACAGAGGGGAGGGTTTGTGCTGAGAACAGCGTTGGACAACAGCTTTAATGCCTCCATCAGAAAAACCATTCCCTTCTAATTCAGATTCAACACTCAGCTGAAGTTCTGTATGCCCACCCTGTCCACTTTTGTTCATAATTTGTACTGAGAAAAAGCAGGCAATTTCTTCGCAGGGAGTGATCTCAGAGTTCATTTTGTTCTTACTCTTCATTTTATTTACTCATCATAGGGTTATCTTAGGAGCTCATATATGAATGTCTTCTTTTCCCAAAGAGATTAGCTATTCTTTGATGGCAGAGGACAAGATGAGGAGGATGTGTTGGGCAGATTATCAGGCCACTGGGCATGGGGGATGGTCTGAAGTTGGGGAGAACACTTATGGTTAGCTGTTATAACATCCAGGCACCAGGTGATAAGGGCCTTGGTGGAAAGAGAGAAGACAAGAAAGACACATTTTGAAAAGAAAAAAAAAAAAACCCATAGGCCTCCATATAGTACCCCGTTGCATCTAAAATATCTGTTCTAGAGCTGTACATACTGCCTGGGGGGCAATTTTGGCGCTTTCCTTTAAAGCTCCTTCCTGTGACTTTGGGCAGGTAGGTGACTTCACCTAACCTAACCTTGAGTTCCTCATCTGTGACTTCGGATGGTAATCAAGTCTCTGTCTCACAGAGTTGTGAGGATTCACTGAGCTAATGCTAGTAAAAATGCTGAGGCCACTGCCTGAAACAGAGCTGCATTTAGTAACGCTGCCTGGGTATTGGCATTTCATAAATATTTGCAGAGCAAACAAACGGGGCAATTTCAACAGACTTGTAGGAGGAGTGGGGTGCTTGGGGTGAGGAGTTGTGGTTCCTAGAAGTTCAAAGAAGATGGAAAGGGAAGGACAGCAGCTAAAAAAGAAAAACTGAGCCAAGGGAAGGGTTTGCTCAACCAGGAGAGATCTGTGCATGTCTGACTGTCACCAGGGGACATGCAGGGGGAGAAACCAAGGGGAAGATGCTCTAAGGGATAAGGCTGCCTGAGGCGGCAGGAAGGCCCAGGTGCCCAGTCTGGCCAGGTTTGAACGGCAGGGGTCAGGGAGGTTATAGGGATGGCTGTCCCACTTTGTCACAAACTGTCCTACCACAGTGGGCCAGGAGCCTGACAGTTGGCTGCTGAGACCCGTGTGCGTGCCTGGGATTGCTCGGTATGCCTGTCGTTCTTGTGTGAAGGAATCCTTCTCTGCAACTTACGCCACAATAGAATGGAAGCTAAGTCTCATAGCAAGGAGTTTATGAACTGCTCCCCCTTATCAATTAACTGACTCATACGAGGCAAAATTCACAACCCCCAACTGATAGGCTGTTCAGGCAGTTTGTTTGACTTATTGATTTGGGTGGGTTAAAAAAAAAAAAAATCACCAGCTGGTTATCATGTTACCTTTGGCCTGCCTTTTGCCTGTTTCTCCTTTACTAAATTAGATTCCACAAACTAACATGGGAAAAAAAACGATTTCCTAGGTTTTCCCAAAAATCATCCCCAGACTGGAGTCATAATCACCTTTCTCCAGATGTACCACAAATAGTACTTTGCTTCAGCTGGGTTAAGGAGGGGAAGAACTCACAATGCAGATGTTCAAAACACATCTTAATAGTGCCGA